ACCGACGAAACGGCGACGGAACACAGACGGAACACAGACGGGACACCGACAAGACACCGACGGGACACACATATACGGGACACAGATATGGAACGCTGACGGGACACCGACGGGACACCGAGTGCACACCCACGGAGCAGCGACGGGACAGCGACGGGACACCAACGGGACACCGACGGGACACCGACAGGACACCACGGCGGGACAACGGGGCCACCGCCCGCCCGCCGCACCGCGGACGAGAGGTGGACAGCGACCTGAAATCAAGTCTGGACAACCGCCCACCGGGGAGGGAGGAGGAACGGTCAACGGATTTTGACACGCCTGAACCACAGTGGAGTCCATTCTTTCGCTTGCCCAAGCAGCTCTGCCTTGCCCGCATGCACCAGACGAGCCCGACGCCGAAACCGAGTTCTTGGTGGGGGGCTCTCTGGCCCATTTCCATTGCACACCCATGATTTTTTTAATGAAACCAGAACATCACCCAACATGTTATGACATATCAGGCATTCACAAGTATATCACAGTATTGTACATAACAGGGACGTGAATGCATCTCTGTATATCAGAATCGGGCTTATCATACCACGATATAATACATGACAATGTACTATAACCGAACGGTCATACTGTACTCACATATGAAGGACTAGCATATACGATGGCAAAACATAGTGCAATACAGTGTACTGTGAACACACGATAATCATTGAACAATACCGAGCCGAACGTATTAGAACATCACCGTGGAACACAAATCTCGGCCCCCATCTCTTTAGGCTGAATGATAGCAGTTCCGCTCGTGGAAGTGATACCCCAGGGCCCAGAATTTCGAACCGTGTCTCCTGCGTCTCGGACCGGGCGAAAGGGGGGGATTGGGAAAGGGGGGGTTACGAAATTTGCTGCGTGCAGCTGGTTCCGGCCTCACCGAGAGGCCCATTCCTCGATGCATAGCCGCCTCCGGCGCCGGGAGGCGCTGGGAAAATCAGCTGCGTGAGCTGATGCTCACCCCCCCCCTTTGCTATCCCCACCTTTCGCCCGACCCGGGCGTCGCTCCGCGCACATTCGTTCCAACGTCTGCGACAGCTTCACGGATGGGGGGCGGCTCTTTTGCAGAGTGCGGTTCTCGCTCCGAGGCCGCGTGCAGTGGTGAGCTGCGCACCTCGAGGGCGGGTCCTTTTCGAAATGTGGCTTTCATTTCAGGGCTGCGCGCATTCGCCTCTTGAGTCTGCACTCACAGTTGGAGGGCGGACGGTTTCCAAAATGTGCCTCTCGCCATAGTGCCGCGCATATTCGCTTGAGAAGTCAGCAGGAGTTTGACGGATGGAGAGCGGTTTCTTTTCAAAATGTAATTCTTGGCCTCGTGCCGTGCACATTCGTCTCAATGATTAGCAGCAGCTCCTGGAGGATTGCAAAAGGATTCTTGAGGATTCCTGCTTGATCCCTGCACTGTTCCCGAAGATTCCTGAGGATTCGCTGCTGCCCCCCATTTTCCCCCGTGAATAAATCAATTGTTTGGGGTGCTAACGATATCGCTTGGCGGTTCCCCCCCCGGAATTGGCACATTATTTTTGGTGCTACAGGGGGGTCGATAATTCAATTTGCTTGTTAGTGAAATTTGCAACGACCGGCCCGCTTCAATCACCATGCTTTCCGCGGCCATCATTCCCAAGGACCACCCGTGGTCCCTGAGTGGCCCGCATCGTGTCTTTGACGCAATTCGTCACGCCATCCAGGCGTTACAACTTTACGCTGCTGCCGCTGCAAATCACGATTGTCGTTATTGGGCCGAACGTTAGACATTATAATGAAAAGGGATAGTACGGACATGGGTGTACAATAACACAGATTAATATGTTTTAGTATGGTTAGCGGGAACACATTGTAAGACACCATATTGCATTCTACGAAAAGGACATAATACACTACCGCCATGCAGCTGAAGGAGCGAATCGACACCGTAACATGTCAGATGTTGCTATTTGACATGCGTGCGGACCCCTATAAACGAGAACATAATCAGGCATGCCAGAACACATCATGTTATACCAAACGAGGGCGACGCAGACAATACCATACTGTGACATGGCCGAACCTGATATCATGTACGAGCCCCTACCATCATATAAAGTTTCAGTTTGAAAGAATGTGACTGGCAACACATGGTGGAATTGAATCTGTCTGGTAGAAAACAGCCCAATTTTACATATCAGGTTATGATATAATACATAATAAGTTGTAGTAGTGAATCGGGTAATCAGGGAGACCACACCGTAATACCATTTAATGCAGTTAGGGATTAGACATCAGAGAAATATTCGTCCCATACCGCACTACAGCACACTCTATTACATAATATGAGAATTGCCACAACTATACTGCAATGGAGTGTGTACGAGCCGAACATCTACAGCACATGCCATCATGCATCATAGTACTACGCTGTATCCGCGTTTCAAAATAGCACCACGTAGCAACGCATATCGGACGACCATTACCTTTCACATACCATTATGCGCCATGCTTGCGTAGCTGCACCGATTTGAGGATTTCACATTCGGCAGCAATTTTCTCTGCCACCATTTGCTCCGTCCGCTTCCTCTTCGTTGGCGCGGGCACCGTTGGGGACAAACGCCGAAGGGTCGGAAGGGAACGGTCGAAGCTACATAATTGTTGATTAAGTTCCGCGCGGATGTTTTGGATCGTCGCTGGATCCTATTGGCGGCCCTTCTGGCGCCACACCTGGCGGGCTCCTTGCCCCGTGGGGGTCCAGTTCCGATCGATGATGTCCTCGCGGACCTTGGACAGTTTCTATGTCTGCCGCTGGTTCTTCTTCTAATCAACGGGGACGCGTCTGAGGAACAAAGTGTGCCGAAGGGCCCCGCACAAGCAGAGGATATTGTTTGATTGCTTCTTCCGCTTGCCTCATCTTCATCCTTCCTACGCGCCTGTGAGACATCCCCCAAGGTCGCCGTCCAGTGAATCCACTCGCACCTGGTGCTGGCTGACTTGAGCCGCCTGTCCGAGAACATGATTTGTGCTTTGCTCACGCGGGGTGCTTACAGCCAATTTTAAACGAGATCAGCCAGCCCGCCTTTTGAAGCTGCCGTGTCAAGCCCTCCTTTTCTGGCGAGGAGGAGCTCTTCTTCGGCCTTTATTTGGAGCTTCGCTGTCTTTGTTTGAGGTTGCTGCGCAGTTCTATTCGATCGTCTTAGCTGACGCGGTCTAGACGACCGATCATCTCGAGGATCAGCGGAGAAAGATAGACCACCGCCAGTGATGACCCATCGAACGGGGACCGACCCTTTGGCGGTGACACGCCCGAGCGTCACCCAGTGCGGACGACGCTGAGGAGTGCCACCGCGCAGGGGGCAGTCGCCTGCGATGGGCTCTCGGTGTCGGCGGTGACTCTCTGAGAGCAGGCCTGGGACTGCATTACAATTGCACCGCAGGCCTCACAACTGCGGGTGGGGGCTCTTGCCGCGGGCCGTCGGCGGGTCGCGCCCGGGGACCGCGCGGTGGCGATCTCGAGCCAGTGCAGGACGCAGACCGCCGCCCCCCCAAAAATGGACACAATGGACGGAAGACCACGACGTGGTCCGCGCGGATCTTTGTTGATCTCCGTTCGACCCGCTGGCGGGCGCCCCCGGCGCTGCCCTTTGTTTCGCTCCGCGCGCCAGGGAGGGGGGGTCCCAGCGCCGACCCCAGAGATTTCCACGGACGCCCGAGAGGTGGCGCATTTGCAGCCGCTCCCTGCACAGATGGTCTGCCACGGTTCTGCATGTTGCTTCTGACGCCCGGCGGCGGGCCCGTGGCCCCCGAAGTCGGTGGCCCATCGTGGCCCATCGTGGCCTGACCCCCCACCGTGCCCCCCCCCCCGTCGTGGCCATGCAGTGCGGCCCCCCCCGATGGTGGCCCCCCCGATGGTGCCCCCCCTCGTGTGACTGCGTAAAGCTGTGATCTCGGGCCACCCTGAGACCGTTCGGCTCCCATGGCGCACTGTCTAGGCAATTTTTCTCTCCGGTGGAGTACTGGCCCGATGTAGCTTTGGTCGGCGCAATCCGCCCCCCCGCAATAATGATTCCCGAGCATCTTGTGGTGTTGGGCTCTCGTTTTGAAGAGCCGGTTCCCGCATCTCTCTTCTTGGCGCTTCCCCCGTCCCATCCTTGCCTCAGCCGTCCGCATGTTCCTGTTTCGGCGCACCCCTCACACGTTTCGCGGCCCACGGGGAGCTCCACCGAAGCCCCCACGGCGGGAAGGGGTGCCGTATGCAGTTTTTACGAGAGATGGGGTCCTGCTCCGATTCCTGAAATCCGCGCGGACCTCCAGGATTGATTTGTTATCCTCTGGCGCGTAACGGTCGTTACCTGGGCCCCCCCCTGGGCAACGGCAACTATCGTACGTGGGAGGTGGGTTCTCGACCCCCCCAATGCATGTTGGCGTTTGCGCGCGTACTATGGCGATCGCAGCGCTCTCCCACCCCGACGTGCCCCACCCCGCCGAAGCGTTCCCGTTACCTAGGGACTCAACCTTTGTCCCCACCTGGGTAACGACCGCTACCCAGTAATGATATTAGCCCTGACGCAGTAGCCGCACGTTTATGTCGTGGATCCGTCTTCGTACCTCGTGCTTTTGCATTGTTTGCGACACCATCTCTGATTGAGCCCGTCCGATTGCCTCTGTCTTCCAAGACATTCCCCACATTCCTAGTCTGCCTCCCTCCCCTCCAGTGCGCATTTCTATCGCACTCCTTTAAACGGTTCGGACGAAAGGGGGGGAAATGGAAAGAAATGAACGGGGGGGTACAACATCTGCTGCATGCAGCTGGTTTCCGCCTTGCTGTCGGCCGTATTCTTCGATGCACGGCCGCCCCCAGGGAAGGGAAGACCAGCTATGTGAGCTGATTCGCCAGCCCGTCCTTTGCTATTGGCCCTCTTGTCCGACCTGGTTGCTCCTCCAGAGGAGGCGTCGGCCCTGGCCTCGCCCCGTGCCGGCACAAGGCCGCTGCTGGCCAAGCACCTTTTCGCTTGCACCGCGCGGGCCCGCAATGTGGCCGGGCGTGCCCTCGTGAAGGAGCCAGGAAGGACGGAGAGGGACACAGATTTTGAGAGAGAGAGAGAGAGAGGAGGGAGGGGGGAGGGAGAGGGAGGATGGAAAAGAGAGGAGACATGTGCCCGGCTTGGGAAGCAGGCGACCATCGGGATGGCAGTCGAACGCAATTGGGGTTGCCACAGCTTGCGATTTGTGTGTGTGTGTGTGTTTCTGTGTGGCGCAGGATGGCGTTCCACACCCGGTGATTGCACGTGAAGAGCAGTTCCGAAGCCAATGTTTGGAGGATGTCTCGAGCAACATGGCCATTGTGTCTCTTATTAAAATTGTTGAAGGAAGCGGCTGTGCTGTTTGACCCTAACGTCGCGACTTGCGTGTGTGGGGGGGACGCTGGTTTTCAGACACTTGAGGATGTCTCTAGCGAAACGGCCAAACAATTCTCGGACGGGACGGGACGTTGAATCAATCGCCTCCGAACTCTACTCCCTTGGAGAGGTGCGCATGAGTGTACACAGAGAGGGAGAGAGAGAGAGATGGATATAGAGAGAGGGATCGAGCGCGTCCAGTGCCGATCCCAGACATCCGCGCGGACCTCCGAATTTGTTTTGTCATCTTTTGCTTCCTTGTCAAGGCTCAACCGAATGCTGGAGTCGACATCCGAATCTGTGATGCGAGGCCAAGGTTTACACCCATCCACCGAGAAGCGTCCCCCGAACACAGATTCCAGCACGTTTTGGCAGCCTCCGTGGGGTGGGTTCGTGGCGTCGGGGGCGCGAATGCCAAGTCATTTGCCTCGGATTGTGGCCTCGAGTTCGCGAAAACATGGATGCGTTGTGGCCTCGGGAGCGCGAATGCGTCTTACCTGGTAAATGCCCAAGGGCCTACAGAATTTGCAGGAGGGACCCCATCGGCTACGACAGTGAGATGCGCTTCTTCCAGGGTGGGGGCCGCGCGTTCAGCCATTTTCCAACAGTGGCACGAGTAGGTAGCTAGAATCTACGACATCTGACACTTTCGCATTGGAGCTGTTGCAGCCTAGTGGCCCCAGGGTTTTGGTTGGCTGAGGGGGCACAAGCGCCCCCTATGTCTAAAACATCACAGTACTGAAAACATTCGAGGCCAACGTTGTGTTCTTACAAAGTTCGGGTTCAACGTTGTTAGAATCCTGGGGTCCGAACGCAGTTTGGATACACTTCGGCGGCGAAGAAGCTACACATATCCAGAGCGCGGGTGAACTGTTCGTGACCTTCCGAATTGGTTTCAAATTTGTTCCGAACCTTTTTTCATTTTTTCCAGGAATGTTGAAACTTAGTTCGAACAGTGTGCGAGCTTTGTTTGTATGTTTCCAAACTCAGAGAAACCATTCGAGCTTGTTCGGTGCCCCCTGAATTTCCGATCTTGTTTCGAACGCTTGCTTTTCGTGGCTTTCGAACTTGAACTTTTAACTTTCTCACCTCCCAAACTCGAGTCAGAATTTTCATTGTTGCATCACGAAAGCCCATCTCCCCCTCGCCAGCCAATTACAACCCCATTGGAGCCAGCGGATCTCCACTCGAGTCTTCGCCGCCTCCGAATCCCCCTTCCTCTACTCCTCATCTGGCTGTTAGGAGGTTGCCCGACTGCATTGTCGTGGAAGGTTTTGGGCTTGGGATGTGGCTTCGCCTTAGGTTCGCTACAGGTCTGGAACCTGGACTAACTAGTCGATCAGTGTACGTGGACGTCCAGGTTTCCACAGCAGCACTGAGCGCAACCTGGAGAGCTGGAATGGTGAGAAGAGCACATAGTAGCCCTGCCAGGTACTGACCCCGGCATGGCACACTTCGATCCGACCAATCCTCTTGCCGGCTCGATCCGATTCGATTACGTTGCCCTGCCGGCCCGATGCAGCCCGATGATGGTATGACATTGTTGTGCGACCTGGTGCAGCAGATTCGATCCGAGTTGATCTGGACGCGTGCCGATACGGCCCGATCCGACGCACATTCCGACCCGGTCCGATGTCCTTGTGATGCAGATGAGTTGTCTGGGATGCAGAGAAACCAAAGTTTTTCCGGACCATAGTGCGCGATTGGATCCTCGCTTTGAGCACGCCGCGCCTCGCACGATCCCCTCCCGCCTGCCCCTACTTCCTCTTCCTGGCCTCGCCCATTTTGGCACACCACTTTCACGGGTCGTGCCCCCGATGGGAGCTATTCTACGTACCCGATGGGTGCGTTCGCATGCCGTCCGTGGGGAATTTTGGCACGCACTTCAAGTGGATACTATCGTACAGGAAGCCCCATTTGCGGCGCCCGAGTGGATGCGCCCTTACCCCTCCTTCGACAATTTCGGCACAGTCCAACAGAGAAATTCCTCATACGGCCTTACTAGTTGTGCGTGTGTGTGTGTGTTTACATGCCGCCCCCTGCCTCCGGGTTACCCCCCCCACAAACTGATGGTGCCCCACAGGGGGCTCCTTCTACGGCCCCAGCGGGCGTGTTTGTATGCCTCCCCACGCCAAGGGTGGCGCACATGTCACACGGGCCGTGCCGCACAGGGAGCCCCACCTTCGGCTCCAGCGGGAGTGCCAGCATGAGGCCCCCCGCCCATGTCGGCACACCCCACAGGGAGCTCCACCCACAGCCTCAGAAGGCGTGCCTTGTGCCCTCCCTGCCCATGTCGGCATAGGATTGCACCCCACAGAGAGCCCCACCTATGGTCCCCATGGGCGCGTCCGTATGCCGCCCCCCGCCCGTTTCGGCACACCCATCACACGGATCGCGTCTCACAGGGAGGTCAGCGCGCTTCTGCGAGTTTGGTCCACAATCCCTACTATATCATATCCCTACTTCCAGAACTCCATTCGTCCCGCGGCTCGTAATATGTGAGAAGAGGTGGCCACGCCTTGTGCTACACGCAGCTTCATATGGTTGGGCCCTTAGCCCGGTTCATGTTGAACAGCGTGGATTGATTGCAATATTCATGGCAGCCGAAGTGCCGTTTCCGGGCGCAGTGTGATTGAGAGGTCCAACGTGTGTGCCAACGTTTGGTGCGTGATTTGAGGTTTCCTTTATTCTTTGGTGTGCCAACGTTTTGGTACAGCTTCCAAGAGGCTAACTTCAGCATCGCCGCTGGCCTGTCCCCCTTAACCTGGCCTAATTTTGAATAGTCTTTGATTGAATCCAACCTCGTAACCGCATAATCTAATTTGATGTCTCTCACCCGCTCTCACGAAGATCTCCCATTATATTTCTTGATCAGATAGTTTGAGGATGTTCCACTTGTATTTGCCGCCGCGCCATGCCTCACTCTTCACCTCTTCTGACTTCGCCTGTCACGCGCCCTCGCAACCTACCAGGGCACATTTCGATCCGGTCGGTCCGATTCGATACCCAAGTTGGCAAGTTAGATTTGATTCGACTCCGAGATTCCGACGGTCCGGTGCGGCCCGATGTTCAGAAGGTACCATTTTGCATCTAAGTGCGGCCGAATTGATTCCGATGCCGTGCCGATGCGGCCCAGTCCGACGCACATTCCGATGCGGGCCCCATTTTCAGATTCGATGTTGAACGATCTTGCCACCTGACGCCAGGAGCACACGCCCGTGCCGCTCGAGCCGCTTGGCGGGGCGAGGCAGACAAGGAGGGGACGGGACGTGCTCCATTGATTCTTCGATCGCCTCGCGGCTGGTGCTGCCATGCCGTCTGCTCTCCCTTTCTTGGTGCACGCCTCTCGGGTGCAGACAGTGCCTTGGCTTCACCTGTTTGTTCGAGCAGCCCGAACGCATGGTTTGCGATGGCAATGTCGTTGCGGAGGAGGAGGAAGAGGAGGAGGACGGGCGAGGCGAGTCGAGGAGGAGAAGGAGGAGAGGCGAGGAGGCGCGAGCAGACGGTGGAAGACGAAGAGGGGAGGAGGAGGAGGAGGAGGAAAAGGAGGAGGAAGACGGGTGGATCTCGCGAACACGCCGGGCGTGGTGCGCCCTATTTGCCTGGAATGCGCGAGGACAGGGGGTGTGCGGAGCGCACGAATTGCCAGAATTGTTGGCGCCAGTCTGCGTGGCGTGGCGTCAAACGTTTAATTGTGCAAAATCCGCCTAACAGCGCCCCCGCTTGACTAGGCTACAGACGCGGTGCGGGATCGCCATCACTGAGACAACAAAGACAGCGTGGCGCGGTGTCTGTCTACCGACCCGCCGCCTGCCCGCGCTCTTGCGGTTCACAGTCGCATCTGGATGTTTTTGCCCCAGAAGGTTTCTTTGCGTGTTGTGCACCGGCGGTCTTCATGAGCAGGCTCTCTTGGGGTTGGTGTGCGGAGATCTCTGTCGCAGGTCGCAGGACAGGAGTGAGATGGTCTGTGCATCAGACTTGGCCTCGCCAGGATGAGTCTTGTCTGCGTGCTGATGAGTTTCTAGGAAAAGGTGGTCAAAAGTTCTTGGCTAGAAGGTCTAGCCGGGCCCTGGCCCACATCTGCCCCAGACCACCGCCCCCTATGAACATTGTAGTCCGATCTCGGAGGCAAAGATGAGGGTGCAAGATATGTTCGTAGGAGTGTTAGATGCAGCTGCGATATGAGAACAGTGTATCAAGGTGTCCCCCCCAGATAAGTAAGAAGGACGAGGAGAAGGAGGAGGAGGCAAGAATAGGAGGACAAATAAACAAAGAGAATTTGATCAGAGGCATTTTGAATATAAAAGATGATCGCACGATTTCAGCTCAGGGTGTCCTTCTATCTCAGGGCGGGTCACACATTTTAAGCAAGTGGCGCTAGCGTCCTAGCTGCGACGCCAATCGGCCATCACTAGGGTTAGATTGCTATGATTATAGATGTGGTTATACTGTTATCAGTTCTTTACCAGTTGGATTGCATATTACAGCAGCATGATCAAGGCACCTCTTCAACAGTCTAGGTTTACCAAGGGGTGGCACATTGCTTCTTCAAGTGGCTTCAATGGTCGGGCGACGCAGATGCCTAACGATTCGCAGGCAAGCCGCTAGCGGACCCTCGTTCGAGCAGATGTCTTATTCTTACGTTGATCGTCGACGTCTGCTCATGAGCAGAAGCGTGGGACTGCGCCATTGAGCCCTAGAGAAGCCCCATGACGCCTGCTGGTTTAATGTTCGGCTTGGCCGTCGGAAGGCCTCCAGATCATCATACTTGCATTCAGCTCTACGCGCCGGCGGGGTTGATACTCAGAGGGGTCCTGGGGGCGATGTCGAAGAGCCTCGCAATGGGCGAAATTAGCATCTGTCTGTTTCTGAAGGGTGCGTCGGCAATGACGGCGTGTTAGTTGGTTCACGCGGCGAGCTCACCTCGCGGCTCGAATCATCCCTGCGCAGACAGAACAAGCGGACAAGTACGGGCGCATTGATGGCAGATGCAGGCAACAGCGTTCGGAGGCCCAGCTCGGAGCGGCGCGCGCGTGAGGTGTGGGCGGGATGCCTTTGCCTGTAGGGCAGCGGCATTCAAGGCGCGGCCTGCCACGGCTCTGTCTCTTGCCGCCGATTTCTCGTCAAGGAGATCGTAGAGTCCATGTTCGCATTGCAGAGTGTATTTGCCTTGTGCTCACAGGTTGGCATCACAGGTACTCGGCATGTTGCTGTTGTTTCCAAACTCACATCTGCATGCCCATAGTACTCAAATCGACAGGCATCCGTGTTACTTGAATGTAGTTCGATGGTGTTGTTGTTGCTTCAGCTGCACATTGTGTTAACAGTGAGTGGTATGGTCTTCAGCTCTGTTGAGAGGGACACCCAGTCCTGCATATCATTATCTCGTCGTGAGCACGGCTTTACCAGAATGATAGCGTCTCTTGCGCACTAAATTGTTATGTATGTCTACGCGCTCCCTTTCGCTAGCACATTCAGGTACTGCATCAGGGTCCCGAAAGAATTACCCCAGGAGTCCCACGTGAATCTCGGATGGGGTTCCAGGAGAGTCGCGAACACATCTTACGTATGGCGGTCTGGGCTTTTAGAGATATACCAGATGTGCCCAATGCCCTCCCGCACGCCTCGAAAGAGCTGCCATAGGAACCATCTGGGGGGTTCCTCGGCGACACCGGAGTCATTATGCCGCCATCGGAGCAGGAGAACGGTAGTCCGAAGGATAATTTGGAGGGCAGCAGGGGATTCCCTTGCCGCTAGATTCATCGAGAGCGTTTCAGGGTTGTCTTTGACTCTGGGCAACCTTGAAGTAGCAAGTCTAGCTAGACGCATTGAACAGAGCTACGCCACAATATTTTCCACGGCTGGCATGTAAATCGGGGAGGGCCGTGTAATTGTCAGCGGCGAAAGTGAGTCTGGAGTCGCAGTAGATCCGAGTTGGAAGACCTTGGAGCCATTCATAATACCACATACTCCGTAGGTAAGGGCACACGTATTTGTTGGCGCGCCCATGGTTTTCTGGAACCCCCTCAGGGGAGTGAGGCTAGTCTGAAGGCGCCTGGCGTATTGAATGCCGTATGCTTGGGAGGGCGTTGATCTGCCTCTACGGCGGGCTCGTGTCATGTTGACCCGGAGGCGACCCCTGCTCGGACATTCGGGCTGGAACGCAACCAGTGGCCCGAGTTGCGATTGTGCAAGGCTTAACGATCCGTGCGGCGTCGGACGCCAGCGCCGACGTCACGACCTGAGCCAGCCGTACAGCCAACACGCTACAACATTAAGGACTATTTTTCTTCGGCTCAGGAGGTTCTGGTGTTCGGGCTGGTCCTGAGACCTAGGTCAGGGGGCCCATTTGTGGCCGAGGCTCGCCATGGCCAGAACTGCCCCGTCCTGATTTATTTGGCGCTCCTTCTGTTTACACGATGACTGTACCAGAAAACCGAGATCGATCAAGGCGTGACGATCCGCCCGGCGTCGGAACTCGACGTCGATGTCGCAGGATCCATGTTGTTCCGATCGATCTGATGCGGTATCCATTCTGGTTGGCTCTATTCGATTTGGTCCCGGTAGGTCTTTGACGAACCGATGCGACCCGATGATTGGATTGTTCCGCCGTGCATGCTGACCTGGCCGATCCGATTCGATTCCGACTCCGTACCGATGCGGCCTGATTCGACGATCCTTCAGATCCGACCCGTTTCCTGACTCGATGCTGGTTGATCCTGGCCCCGACCAGGTTTTCTCAGAGGTGCTGGCTGATCTTGCGTCGTCACGGCACGAGCCAGCCGCGTGCCCCCTGTTCTTTCCAGGGGCAACGTGGTGAGGTGATAGGCTCAGGCGGAACGCATCGACGCCCAGTCGCTCAGGGGAACGACGGCTCACCCCGCCTAGGAACGGGCGGATTCGCCGTCTTGGGGCCTGCCAGTGATGTGGTGCCGATCCCAGGTCGATGTTTCCCCCCCGGGCCAGTCCCCCTCCCCCCGTCGTCCCGCCGCGGGCACGGGGCAGCCGCGTGCCCCCCGTGCCCTGGGCTCTCCGCGCGCCCGCCGGGCCGCCGAGACTGCAGCTGGGCGCGGCTCTCCTCCTGCTGTGGGCAGGACCTCTCGCTTTCTGGCTTGGCGCGGCTCCCCCTTTCCCATCCTTATCCGGTCCTCCTTCTGTGCTAGTCCCTGCCTCCGCCCCTGCCTCCACCCGGGCACTCCTCGTGTTTCTCCTCCCTTCCTCCGTCCCTCTTGCATCGCCTCTCCTCCTCCTCCTTCTCCTCCCTTTTCCCCCTCCCGTCCCTTCCTTCTCCCTTCCTCCTCTCGCTTCCCCTTCCTCCTTCCTTCGTTGCTTACTCCCACCTCCATCCATCCTCTCCTCACTCGTGGCCGTACCCTAACGGGCACTGGCGGGCTCTCTAGTGGAGCGCGCACGTCTCCGGAGCTCGTCTCGTCGTCTGGTCTCCTGTCTCCTCCTTCTCCCCCTTCCACTGGGGGGGCCCCCAGCGGTGTGGTGACCACACCGCGTGGTGAGTCATAGGGGTTCGGGGTCACCTCGCGGTGTTGGGACTCGAGTCATTATCCGAGGACGTCTTGGGCGACCGCCGAGGTCCTAAAACCGTACGGTGACGGACCGCGTGGTGAGGTCGCTTGGGTTTCCCAGGTCACCACGCGATCCGTCACCACGATTTTGGGGGCCCGAATTCCGCGGCCCGATGCTCGGATGGTGCCGCTGTGCATCCTTGCGCGGCGGTCGATCGGATTCGATGCCGATTCCGTGCCGATCCAGCCCGATCCGACGCACGTCTTGGTCCAATTCGAAATTCCCGACTCGATGCTGACTGATGTTGCTCTCTCTTCGTCCATGGGCACTAGCTGATCTTACAATGGTCCATTCGGCGCTGGAGCACCGGACCCCCCGCTGGTTTTCGCTTGGCTGCAGATATCCTTCATATGCTTAACCCCCGCCTGTGTTCCAGATATCAAACCTACACGTGTAGGGTTCGTATGTTGTTGACTGCTTCCCCCCCCCATCACTTTCTCCCGCCCCGCTCCCTCCTTCGTTCCCTCCCCCCGGCCTCCCTTGAAATTTACTCAGTCTACACTCGGATACAGTCTCGCTTGGCACTTCAGAGCTGCAACATACCTATCAGGAAGCTATCAATCAGCCATACCATTCCTTCCCCTTGCTTTTAATGTCATTGCTGCAGGGATTATTTCCTATTACCGCATTATTCCCGTGCGATGCTCGACTATTGTTGTTATCCTTCGACATGTGGCATTGAATGCGTCGTTCTATTCAAGGCGCGTCCAGTGGATCGGGAGATGTGAAAGAGCGTGTTCTACCGCTGCTGGCGGAAAACGGGGGGGGGTCACTACCGGTTCGAACCCACCCCCCCCCCCCCCCTCCGCAAAACCGGGGGGGTTCACTACTGGTTCGACCCCCCCCCCCCGTTCATCATGAAAAGGGGGGGGGTCACTACCGGTTCGAACCCCCCCCCCCTCGAACTCGAAAACCGGGGGGCGTCACTACCGGTTCGAACCCCCCCCCGTAAGGGTGACTTTTAAGACTATGTGACATGATGTGTCTTCAGTGCATGCGTAGATCAGCGTTGTGTTTTTCCTATACGTGTTGATGTAGTTGTATATGTAGATGCTGATGCAGACGTTAGCGATGATGCTGGTGTAGCTGTTGTCCTCTCGGTTTCCCCATTGTCTCTTGTCCTCTTGGTTTCCCCATTGTCTATTGTCCTCTTCGTTTCCCCATTGTCTCTTGTCCACTCGGTTCCCCCATATTGTCTTGTGGACTCTTGGTTCCCTATTGTCTCTTTTCCTCTTGGTTCCCCTATTGTCTGGGGCCTGAGTGGGCAGGAGGGCCTCCCAGGAGTGCGATTGCCGAAACCTATTAGAAAAAACAATCGAAACGCGTCTTGGAGCCACGAAACCTGTGACACTACCAAAAAAAAACAAAAAAGTCAGTGACACTACAAAAAAAAAAATCTTAGGTTTTCGGACCTCGCACTCCTGGCGGGCCCTCCTGAAGTCCGGAGCCGGAATGGGCAGAGGCCGAAAATTGTTGATTTATTTGTTTTCCAATGACAGTCACAGGTTTCCTTATCTTATGGCCACGAAACCTGTGACACTACCAACATAAAAAAAGTTACACTACCAAAAAGACCAACAATCAAAGGTTTTCGGACCTCGCACTCCTGGCGGGCCCTCCTGAAGTCCGGAGCCGGAATGGGCAGAGGCCGAAAACTGTTGATTTATTTGTTTTCCAATGACAGTCACAGGTTTTCTCTCTTAGGGTCACGAAACCTTTGATAATACCCAAAAAAACAAAAAAACTAAACTCCAAACATATTAAACAAAATATCAGTGACACTACCAAAAAAAACAAACATCAAAGGTTTTCGGACCTCGCACTCCTGGTGGGTCCTCCTGGGGTCCGGACTCCAGGAGAACCCGCCAGGAGTGCGAGGTCCGAAAACCTTTGATTGTTGGTCTTTTTGGTAGTGTCACTTTTTTTTTGTTTTTGTTTGTTTTGTTTTTGTTTGTTTGTGTTTTTGGTAGTGTCACAGGTTTCGTGGCCCTAACATAAGGAAACCTGTGACTGTCATTGGAAAACAAATGAAATCAAAGGTTTTCGGCCCCTGCCCATTCCGGCTCCGGACTCCAGGAGGGCCCGCCAGGAGTGCGAGGTCCGAAAACCTTTGATTTTTGTTTTTTTTTGGTAGGGCCATTTGTGTGTTTTTTTTGGTAGTGTCACAGGTTTCGTGGCTCCAAGACGCGTTTCCATTGTTTTTTTTTGTAATAGGTTTCGGCAATCGCACTCCTGGGAGGCCCTCCCGCCCACTCAGTCCCCAGACAATAGGGGAACCAAGAGGACACGAGACAATAGGGGAACCGATTCCTTATGTGGATGGGCCTTCAAATATCGATTCCTTATGTGGAGGGGCCTTCACATATTGGTTCCGTCTGTGGAGGGACCTTCACATATCGATTCGTTCTGTGGCGGGTGATCTCCTTTTCCTCCTCCTCCTCCTGCTCATCATCCCCCTCCTTCTCCCACTCTGGCGCAGGGGTTGAGGAGAAGAAGGAGCAGAAGGAGTAGGAGGAGAAAAATGAGGAGGAGAAAAATGAGATTGTTTCCTTTTGTGGGGGATCCTCCACATATTGATTCCTTCTGTGGACGGGACCTCCACATGTTGATTTCGTTTGTGGAGGGACCTCCACATATTGATTCCCTGTGTGCAAGGGGTCTCCATCTTGATTTCTTTTGTGGAGGTGCCTCCCACTTGTAGACTCTTTATGTGGAAGGGGCCTTCACATATTGTCTCTTTAGGTGAAGTGGCGTGCACATATTGATTCCTTATGTGGAAGGGCCTTCAAACATCGACTCCTTGTGTGTAGGGGCCTCCACATATTGATTCCATGTGTGGAGGGACCTCTACATAATGATTCCATATGTGCAAGGGGCCTCCATAATGATATCTTGTGTGGAAGGGCCTCCCACTCGTTGAGTCCTTATGTGGAAAGGGCCTGATTCCTCTTGTGGGAGATCCTCCACATATTGTTTCCTTATGTTGAAGGAATCTCCACATGTTGATTCCGTCTGTGGAGGGACCTCCACATGTTGACTCCTTATGCGCAAGGATCTCCATTTTGATTTTTTATGTGGAGGGGCCTCCAACTTGTTCGTTGCTTATGTGGAAGGGGCCTTCACATAATGATTCCTTATGTGAAAGGGCCTGCACATATGGATTCCCTATGTGGATTGGCCTTTTTAAATCGACTCCTTATGTGGAGGGGCCTCCACATATTGATTCTGTCTGTGGAGGGACCTCCACATATTGATTCGTTCTGTGGCGGGCGATCTCCTTTTCCTTCTCCTCCTTCTGCTCCTTCTCCCCCTGCTTCTCTCACTCCGGCGCAGGGGTTGAGGAGAAGAAGGATCAGAAAGAGTAGGAGGATAAATATGAGGAGGAGAAAGATGATATTGTTTCCTTTTGTGGGGGATCCTCCACATATTGATTCCTTATGTGCAAGGGGCCTCGCGCATATTGATTCCTCTTGTGGGGGGGAGTCCTCCACATATTGATTCCTTCTGTGGAGGGACCTCCACATGTTGATTTCGTCTGTGGAAGGATCTCCTCATATTCATTTCTTAGGTCAAAGGGGTCTCCACATGGATTTCTTATGTGGATGGGCCTTCGAATATAGATTCGATATGTCGAGGGGCCTCCACATATTGAGTTTTTCTGTGGAGGGACCGCCGCATATTGATTCCTTATGTGCAAGGGGTCTCCATATTGATATCTTATGCGGAGGGGCCTCCAACATGTTGAATCCTTATGTGGGAGGGGCCTTCATAGATGAGTTCCTCATGTGAAGGAGCCTGCACACATTGATTCCTTATGTGGAAGGCCCTTCACATATCGATCCTTTATGTGGAGGGGCCTCCACATGTATTCCTTGTGTGGAGTAGGAGGAGAAATATGACGAGGAGCAGGAAGAGTAGGAGGCGGAGGTGGACACGGGGAAGCGGTTTACATATGTATTCCTTTTGTGGCGGGGCGGGGTACATAGAATGGGAGGAGAGGAGAGGAGGAGGAGGAGGAGAGAGAGTGAGAGAGAGAGTGAGTCAAGAGAGGGAGGAGAGAGACAGAAGGAGGAGGAGAGGGAGGAGGAGATAGAGAGGAAGGGAGAAGAGAGGAGGGGAAAGAAACAGAGAGAGAGAGAGAGAAAGCGAACACCCAGTAGCATGATAAGAACAAGGGAAGGGGCAAACAATAACACTAAGAGGGAAGAACAACGAACAAAACAGCCGCGGCGCGAGAAAGCAGCGCACGTCACATAGTCTTAAAAGCCCCCCCCCTTCGAAAACCGAGGGGGGGGTGCGGACAGTGGTGGGGGCGGTGGTGGTGGGGACAGTGGCGAGGGGACAGCGTGACAGTGGTTGGGACAGCGTGACAGTGGTGGGGATGGTAGTGGTGGGGACAATGGTGAGGACAATGGTGGGAACAGTGGGGACAGTGGGACAGTGGTGGGGACGGTGGTGATGGGGACAGTAGTGCGGGGACAGTGGGAATGAGGTGGGAACAGTGGGACAGCGGTGTGGGGACGGTGGTGGTGGGGACAGTGGTGAAGGCGGTGGCGAGGACGGCGGTGGGACAATGGGACAGAAGTACAGCGGGGACAGCGGTGGGGACAGTTGGGACAGTGGTGAGAACAGCGGGACAGCTCAGTGGGACAGCGGAGGAGTCAGTGGGACAGTGGGGACAGTGGGGATAGTCGGGCAGTGGTTGCGGCCGTGGAGAAAGTTGGGAGAGTGGAGCCGTGGTGGGAACAGTGGTGGGGACAGTGGGGACAGTACGACAGTGGTGGCGGCACTGGTGGGGACAGTAGGGGCGGTGGTGGAACCAGCGGGGACAGTGGTGGTGAGGACAGTGGCGCTGGGAACAACAGTGGGGGATGTGGTGAGGACGGTGGTAGGGACCGGGAGTCGTTTGCTGGCGGTGAGATGGGGGGGGAGGGGTTCGAACCGGTAGTGACCCCCCCCCTCCGGCGGTTTTCGAGGGGGCGGAGGTTTTCGAACCGGTAGTGACCCCCTCCCGGCTTTCGAGGGATAGGGGGGGGGGAGGGGTTGGGTTAGGGGAGGAGGGGGGGGTGCTGGGGGGTTTTCAGAGGGGGGGGGGGGGAACCCCGGGCTCGGAGGAAAAAGGCGGCAATTTTCCACAGGAAAGCGGCGGTGGATCACGCTCTCTCGGAGATGTACACGCCCATCCATCCAGTGCTCAGCCTCCCCCCCTCCGCGCGCGCTCCCGTCGCTATTTTCACTTCGAAGCGAACCGCTCTTCGCCAGAGGAGTGTAGCAAAGCATACTGCAAAACCGTTTTCTGTCACATCTGACTCGCAACACCCATTATTGATGTTATTATTATTGTTATTCCTCTTCTTCCTGATGATGTTCCAGAAACGTCGGTTGGCGCTTCAACTCTGGTAGAGGAGCGTCGGACACGGCGCTGTGCGGCCACGCGCCTACGAGTACCACTGCGACTACGACTACCCCTTGCGGGCCTGCGGGGGCAGGCAAGAATCGCCGGACGCACGCGCGCCCGTTGGAAAGCGAGGTGCGTCGAGCAGCCGGGCGGCTTGAGGTGGAACACGAGAGGGCGACTCGCGCCTGTTTGCGTCCACCGTGGGAGCCTCACAGCGAGGCCTGCCGCTGGTCAGTGCGACTTGCGGTGGAGGAGCGGCCGGCCGAGGTGGAATTGGACTGGTCGCCAGACGAGAAATCGGACGACGAACCAGAAGTGGAGTTGGAGCCCCCGCCGAAGCGCACGCTGACGCCTCGGCGCAGGCGCAGGCGAAGCCCAACGCCTCCGCCCGGCAATCCTGCCGACGACTTGCAGCGTCGGCCATGGGCGGCAGGCGGCGACGGCAGCAGCAGCGGCGCGCTTGCGCGGCGCCAGCCGCACATCTTCGGCGCAGTTCTTCAGCGCTGCACGCAGGGCGCGGCCGCGGCGTCAACTGAGACGCCACCATGGTGGAGCCCAGAACTGGAGCACGACGCGGCGCGTCCGCGCACCATCGCGGAATGGGCGCGGGACGTCTGGAGGTGGACGGCGACCGCGAAGCTGGGCGTCGAGCGCCAGAGGCCGACGCTCGGCCTCGCCCTCGGCGCGACAGCGCGGACCATCGCCGACGAGGTCGCGGTGGAGATCCTGCAGCGCGGCGTTGCGGTGGGCCTCGCGCCCGCTTCAGATCGGGCCGCCCGCGGGTCGGGCGGCCGTTGGTGGAGTTGACGGCGATGCGCCAAATTGAATAGATAGTGGGGGAGATTACCGCGGGGGCCCGGCGAATCAGGAGGGGAAGGCGAAGGAGGCGAGGGAGGTTGACTATTTAGCTGGAGCTCGCGTGTTAGCACACCGCGTCAAAGAGGTCCGACGCTCCCCATGGCTCCCCTGCCCACCCTCATCTGCTTGTGGTTTTGCGCTGGAAGGGGCGGCCCCGCGCGGGCTCGTCGCCGAGCGGGCGCGCTGCGTGAAGTTCTGGATGGAGCCGCGCGCGGGGCCCAGCGGGGAGCTCGGGGGGGGCGCTGGTCCTGCGAGCCAGGAAGTCTGGGCCAGGTCTCGCTGCGTCTCGGGATCAAGGCGTGGTTCGCTCGCGGGGGAGCGCCGACTCCAGGGGCGCGCGCGGCGGCGGGGCCTCGGGGCCCAGCGCGGCCATGCCCGCCCTGGAAACGATCTTGGCTCCTGAAGCCCGTCGTCGATATTCTGGGCGGGCTAGAGCTCGGATGTTTTCCCAGGCTTGGGCCTCGCGCGCGATCGACGCGGCAGGGGGGCAGCTTGGCGAGCCAGGTCGCGGGCGCCTGTGTCGGCCGACCGCCTGGCTGGAGGGCGCGAGCCCCGACCGTGAGCGGAACTCCGCCCGCGCCGCGGGTCGGTCGATCTCGCTAGACCCGATGCGTTTCGTCTCGCCGGGCAGTGAGAAGAGCAGTGGGGTGCCCCGGCGTCTCCGACGCTGCATCGAGGAGTTGAGATGGCAGGGCGAGAAGGAGTCGCTGGGGAAATGGCAGAAGTGGGCGGCGGAGTCGGCGCAGAGAGATGGACGGGCTGCCCATCTTTTTGTACGCAAGACTCCAGCAGATCGCCACATCTCGACCCCTGTAGACGAAGTCGAGGTCCCAGTCGACGGGCGCGAGGCCGGCCTCGATTGAACAGTGGGTCCCGCTCTGGTTTCGGGCGGGTGGGGGGCTGGCCGCGCGCGCCTTTCGCGGCGGGGCGTCCGCGGCGACGCCTTGATTCCGATCGACCTGGATCACTTCCTCCAGGCGCGCGAGGGGCGCGCTGAGTCGGCGGGGCCGGAGCGGGGCGCCTTCCGCCCCAGCATCATTCTGAGACTTCCAGTATCACGCTAGCTCAGGGCCCTTGGCCTGCAGCGTGGCTTCGAGGGGGCCCCGGAGGATATCCGACCTGTTAACTAACGTCAGTTTCTTGGAAGCATCGTCGCCGCCTCAGCAAGATGTGGGGGGTGGAGCGTCCCGTTGTTTGTTTTTTGGGGCTCGGGGCCTGAAGCAACTTGGGCGCGCGGGCTGGGCCCGCGCCGTGTCGGCGCATTTTGGGCATTGCGTTGGCACGACGTCGGCGACGGCGCTATTGGACCTCGAAAAGGTTCACGAACGCAGTAGCCACCAGGACTTGCATCATGCCGCGACCGAGCTTAACCTCCGACTTTTGCGTGGGTTGGGCGCGATGCATGCACCAGGGCGCGCGCTTCACAGCGGGGGCTGTGTCCTCGGGGGCCCTGGCGGCAAATGCAAGGGAGATTGCAGGGTGTTCGGCGGCGGCTTCGCCGTGTGAGGCTTGGGGTAGTTGGTCTAGGGTGTTGTGGCTAGGGTGTTAGGGCGAAGTGTATGATATCGGTGTCCGGGTCAGGGTGTTGCGCTTAGGGTGATCGGGTTCGGCTTGGATTGGTTGGGTGTGGAATGCGGTGTCAGGGCTAGGTAAAGGTAGGGTGTCAGGGTTCGGGTGGTAGGGTTCGGGCCATGGTGTTAAGGATAAGGCTTCTTTCCCAAGGCGGTAGGGTTCGGGGTAGGGTATTGCGGTTCGGGTGTTGGCGGTCGGGTTTTAGGGCGTTAGAGTTATGGCGGCTTTTGGGTGCTAGGTTTACGGTGCCAGGTCTAAGGTGCGGGGTCTGTAGGGTTGGTGGGTTGGGTTCGGGCGGTAGGGTTGGTGGGTTGGGTTAGGGCGTTACGGGGGCAGCGTGCGTGGCCAAAACGCGGGGGGGGATTTTCGAGTCCAAGGGGGGAGGGGGGGATTGGAACGGTCCAAACCTTCCCCCTTCAAAGGGGTGGGGGTGGTCTGGGACGACGGATCGGGAAAGGGGGAAGGGGGGCCCTGGGACGACGGACCGGGGAAAGGGGCGGCGGGCCCTTAATGGGGCATCCAGCGGCGCGCCCTCACGATGAGATAAGGAGGGTCGGATGAGACATGATAATGGTCGCGCTGTCGTCATGAGGGGGTTCGAGACACACGCCTTCTGTTCGCTTGTGGAGACGGTCAGTAGGGAAAGCCATGGTCGGCTGTTGCTGCTGCCGAGTGACATTTTGCGCGTACTGGTTGGATGAAGGATAGAGGCCCAAGGAGGGTGTGGCGCAGAGACAGCTGATCCGGTATTTGGGACTCCGTCGTGCGAGTTCCTCCTCCTCCTTTTCTTCCTTTTCCTATTATCGTCACCATCGTCGCCATCCCGTATGATTTCGACTCCCGATGTCGAGGTTCCATTTATCCAACTGTCCTTTTCCCGTTCCGTGCCCCCCGTGGCCCAGCCACCCCTGGGCAGCCCCCAGGACTGCGGCCCGGCCTCGCGCAGGGCGCGGCGGGTGGCGACCAGATGCCCGAGACGATGAAGGCGCGCGCCCGCCCAAACCGTGTGAGTTGGACAACCGCCTGAAATGTGCACACGGAAGCTGGAACAGGTTGTTTGGGCCAGTCGTTTCCAGTCTTTGGCCAGTTTCCTTCAGGCAGTTCTTCCAGCCTTGGCGAGCCCCTCCCAACTTTTCTGGGCTCGTTTCAGCCTTGTGCTTGTTTTTTCCATTCTGGCGTTTCTCATTTTATATGAGAAGTCAAACTTTTGTAATTCTGCTCCGCTGTCCTCACGCCCCGGCATGAAGCAACCTGGTCCTGAGGGGAGCGCTTCCTGAGGTGTTTCATCGTTTTCGTGCTCTCGGGGTCCTCACCGGCCGCAGGGCCTCTCAAAGGCAGCTCGTGTTGAGGAGTTGGTCCTGGGCAGTGGCCCCAGGATCCATGACCCATTTCCCTGATGACCTGGTTTGGCCCCGGGGTTGTCATGCGCTTTTTCGGGATAGTGCTCACAGTGATCATGACATACAAACTGTTCGAAGGTCCGCGAGGGGGTTCTTGATTGGGCGCCTGGCCCTCCAGGTGGTGCCCCCGCAGCCGTTCCTGGCGCTGTCCACTCGCTCTTCCCTCGCTGTTCCTTCTCATCCTCGTGGCAGTCTGCCGCCCCGTCGTCTGCGCCTTCTTCCTGGTCCTCCCTCGAAGGAAGCAGTAGAGGCTTCAGTGTCTTGGGTCGGCGCTGGGCTTCTCCTGACGGCGCCTCCAGCGCCGGCCCAAGCGCGCTCCGCGCGCCGCGGGAACGGGGTACATCGCCGACCACAGAAGTCCGCGCTGACCTTGGACAGCTCATGTTGACGTGTGTGCGTGCGTACACAGCCGATCGTCAAATTGAGTTAGCCAGATGCGTCATGGTGGTGATAACGAGTGATGATGAGGACGAGGATGATGAGGTCTATGATGGAGACCACGACCTCAGATCCAGATATGCAGCTGCCCACGGCAAGTCCTTCCACCGTGCCGTGACCTGTGACACCTCGTCACCCGAGGCGTGTGAGAGCCGTAACACGTGACACCAATTTCCGCGTCGTGTTGGGTTTCTTTTCTCGTCTTCGTCGTCTCCATCTCTTTCTTCCGTTCTTTCTCGGGCTTCTGTTGGGTAGTTTTGGGCCCTTCTTTGGCGTCGTTTAGGGTGTCTCTTGCGGCTGTCGTGGGGCCGTTTTGGGGCTGTCCTGGGACGCCAATGTCTCTCTAAGACCGCCTTCCCAGCTTCGTGCTGTCGATAATCGGCGGTCAGCCTGGGAGGGACATGAGATGGGGCGGGCCTTCTCGGAAGGCTCGCAAGTCGTCCGGCCTTAAGAGAAGGGTTTTAAGCCTTCACCGAAGACACAGAAACTTTCTCAGAAGGCCTGAGGGCTTCTGAGAAGCCCCGTCGCCTTCTGAGAAGGCCTCCTCCTTCTCACTTCCCCCCCCCCCGCTCGCCGTCGATATGGACCGTCCTGGGCCGTCCTGGGGCCCTATTGGGCTGTGTTGATGCCGTCTTGGAGGATTACTTGGTCACTTGGGGCCCCTCTTGGACCGTCTTAGGGCCATCCTGGAGGCCTCTAGGGCAGTCTGGAGCTACAGGAAGCCCGGCACGGTGAAGACGCCCAGCACGCCTGCAATGTCATGTTTCAATTCGGGCACAAATGTCGGGCTGCATTTAAGCAAGCATTGCGGGCAGCATTTCTGGATGCAATCTGGGCAACGCAGTTTCTTTTAGTAGAAACACCGGACTTCCTATATGAGGAAATTTGCGTTCTGGTGCGAGCAGATACCTCGGGGGGGATTGATCGCCAGGCAGCTTATCGGTACAACCGCGCCCAGCTCTTATGCTGCTCGCTGTCCTTAAGTCCTTAATTGTGGCGGAACACTGCACATCAGGAGAAGCAAGTACTTTGTTTATGTAGCGCAGTATGGATCTCAATGAATCGTGGGCCATTGCGAAATCATGAACGTTGTTGATCTCCGAAGAAGATCATACGATGCCTCATGCCCGCATGGCTGGCGCAAGGGCGAACTTTAGCCACTGACCCTGACTTTTTTGTCACTTCGCCGTCCCCCTGTCTCTCACCCTCTCTCCTCCTGCTCGGCCGCCCTCTTCCGTCTACCGCCTGAGTGTGCACAATTTGTCTAGCACCGCACCCTTCAGGCTACGGACCGCGGTGCGCATTCGCCACTGCTGCGATTAAAAGGTATCAATCCCTTCCCGTCGCCCTCCTCCCTCCTTTTGTAACTGGTAAAGACTCCGAGAATGCGTTGGCACCTTCGCACAGTTCAGCGCAGTTGGTGTTTCCAACCCGACGTTTCGGAATGATTCAAGAGGAGCGCGGTTGTTGCGATTGTTGTGCTGGGTGCGCGCCAATGGACAACATGCATGTGGCCATAGGCTTTTCACGCGTAGCCCAGCGCTCAATTATATGATTTGAAATCTCAGAGTTCATCAACCGACAAAGGCCATGATAAGAACGACGGCATCTCAATTCTTCACGCTTCGCGTATTCCGACCAGCGCCAATCGTCTCGCATTGCGCCCCAGTCGAGATTGACCCGCTCCCTTGAGCCGTCCTTGGAGCCGCAGATCGAAAAAAGTATTCCGACCAGCCTGGACCCTGACTCGCCGTTGGCGCTCTCGCTTGCGGCTGCCGACAAAAAGTATTCCGACCAGCTCATTCAGAAACGTTGCTGGTGAGATTTGACGGGGAACGGGCGGAACATATCTTCAAGCGATGCCCAGGCGCGTTGCCTTATTCAGGGAAGAGTACACGCCTGCAGTGAAACACCTTCCCAGAGAGATATGAGGAGGAGCAGGAGGAGGAGGGCGAGGACGAGGATGAGAAGGAACAGGAGGACGAGCACGGGAACGAGAAGGAGGAGGACGAGGAGGGGAACGATGACGACGAGGATTCGCAGGAGGAAGAGACGTATATTGAGGAAGAGGAGGGCCAGACTGAAGATATCTAGAACGAGGAGCAGCAAGAGGAGGAGGAGGAGGAGGTGAAGGAGAAGGAAGAGGAGACACGGGAGGATGAGGAGGGAGGAGGACGATGAGGACAAGGACAAGGACTTGGCAGCCATCTTGATACCTTCTTGAGGCCTTCTTGGCGTCCTCTTGGGGCTGTCTCGGTGCCCTCTTGGGGCCCTTTTGGAGGGTCGGGGGCCCCCTTTGAGCCCTTTTGGGGGGTCCGGAGGTCTTCTTAGGGCCGTCTTGGCAGCCCTGGAGGGCCTGCCGGGGCCATCTTGGAGACCATGGGTCAGAGGAGGGGGACCCCCGATTTCCGTGAAATGTTGGGCGCTCGTGGGGCCATCGTGGCGGCCTCGTCGGCCCCTATTGGAGCTATCGTGGGCCATGTTGGGGCCGCATGGAGGCTTCAAAGAGTATCGGAAGCGAAGTGGCGAGAAGGCACAATTCATTGATCGTTTTAAGATGTTTGGAGGATATTCGCCCTTTTGGGGGGGGGGTCCTGAGAGGGCTCTGAGGGCACTTGGAGCAGTCTTGCAGCCCTCTTGGGGTCTCCTGGAGGCGTTTCGGAAACTATCTCGATCTCGAACCATCTTCGGCTATCTTGAGCCATCTTCGAACATCGGACGCCCGTTTGGAGCCATCTTGGGATATGTTTGACGCTCGAACCCCTCGCAAGCCCTCAAAACAAACCTCAGAGAAGGGAGCGGGCCCCTCCCCGAAGGAAAGAGAGGTTTTGGAAGAGTGACGGACGAACTCGTTCCACTTATGCCCAGAGGGCTGGTGGTTTTTAGACCTAGAGGTCAAGGTTCGATTCGGCCAAGGCGGTATCGAGGTCACTGTGCCCGATGTCGCCCAGAGACGACAGCTCAGTGGCCACAGCTACTGACGTGAACTGTACTGTACGTTGGCGGTTGGTGTTGTCCCAGCGAATGGGGATGGGAATGTTGAAGAGGGATTGGGGACAGCGAATCGAAGGCTTGCGGTCACATGGACGTGACGTCGTCATGGCCAGGGCATGCAAGGCATTGGCAACCAATCTCGTCATCATGATTTCTTTGTTATGTCAACATCTGCTTCCAGGTTGTTCAAGAAGTGGTCGGGAACCCGCCCCGCTGCCTACCTTCCGTCGCGAACGGCACGATTGTTGCACACCTCCAGTTCTCTGCTGTATTATTGCCGATGCATGAACCGATGGCATCATGCTTTCTGATGCTATTGAGGTCGTCGATCATTGCAGCTGTTCGTGGTAGTGTTGAGGAGCTAACGCTGCCATTCTCCAGCCAAATCCAGGGATCTAACCCGGGTGTTGACATTCTTGGAGTAGAATTGTCCATCGAGTTCCACGCGAAGGTTTGAGAGGGGAGCAGCATACGTGGTTGTCGCGGCAGTTTGGTTTTCGGTTGTTTTTTGTTAGGTTCCCCCAATAATTTGTCCGACGCGATATGGGGGAGCGACCAGGTTGTTGTCTTTCGGACGGGTTTTTGAAGTTCTCAGTAAATTAATGTCAGTGCGCGTGGTGATATGAGTGCAGTAATTATTTCTGAATTGGTTTGCTGGTTTGCCGTTGGGATTGATCGGCCTCGCTGGGGCTACATCGTCCCTTTGGCGGCTGCTTCTAAGCCTCTGGCAGGGTACACAGGTCTACTGACCACTGAGCCATGTTGGGGGCAAAACGCAAATGCGCCATGTTGGGAGGTCATGAGGTAAGTCGGCTTAACATGGTGAAGATGGTTTACTTGCATCGGGGTGTGGCAGGTTGCGCGGGCGCGGCGAAAGTGGCGATTGCGCAGGGGATGGTTCATGACCATGGGGAAATTGGATGGCACATGGGACCGCTTCAGTGGACATGGGGAAGGTTAGATTGTCACGGGGGAGATGGGGGAAGTTGGCTATGACATGAACGATTTAAACAGATATGTCAGGGAATCGTTGAGAATGGCATGGAGGAATTCAAAAGGGCAAGGGGGAGGTGGACGGGATTATGTTGAAGATTATATTATTTCGGGGGCCTCCTCGGGAGACTTTTCGCCATTTGGAGCCGCCTTTGAGCGGTTGTGGAGCCTCGTGAAGGTATCCAGTAAGCTACCTTGAACCATATTCTGTTTTTTGAACAATATTGGATACCATCTTGAGGCCTTGGGGGACCAGAGCCATCTTGGGCCATCTTGGACCTTGGACCGCCTCCCCCCCCCGTCGAGACCCGGGGGTTGGATGCAGCGCGCTAGACTTCATCCGCCCAGAGGGCTGGTCGGAGTTTTTGAACTCCCCCGAAAGTGCCCTGACGGGCCAAAGGGCCCCCCAGGCGTTTGGTGGATGGGCCGCGCGAGCCCCGCAGGCTTAGCCAGACGGGCCCTCGGGCCCACCCGCTTTGGCTGGGCGGCCTGGAACCTTCCGACCATGGCCGACCCGGCCTTACTTCGCCGCCAGCTGTAGGGTGGCATGAAGCCCCCAGCAGCGTTAAACAGAGGGGGCCCTTGAGCCCACCAACTGTATCCGGAGAGGGTCCGGAGCCGTTCGGCCTTAGTCCGAGCGGGAGGGGGCTGGGAGCTCCCCAGCCTTGGCCGGCAGACCCCAGCCTTCGGGCGGGGGCCTGGAGCTCCCCCGCCTTACTTGGCGGAGGCCCGGTGCCCCCCATGCCTTTTGAAACGGACGGGCACGGAGCTACCCAGCTCTGGCCAGAGCTCCTCAGCCTTAGCCGGCGGGGGCCTTCGCCAGCGACCTGGAGCCCCGCCTGGCCCTTCAACCGTAGCCGCTCGGCGCCCGCCGGAGCCCGCCGAGCCCCTCAGCCCTAGCCGGCGGGGGCCCCCCCGCCCGTAGCCCCTCAGCCTCAGCCGGAGGGGGCCCCACGGGGCAAGGGCCCAGAGCCTTCCATCTTTAGCAGGGGGGAGCTCTCGAGAGCCCCGCGCGTCTTGGCCCGATCAGGAGCCCCGAGCATCCCGAGACGAGCACCACGAATCCGTCAAGCCTGCCCTGGACGGGCAACGGCACTCCCTCACCGCAGCGGGCGGACCGCGGAGCCGCTGAGCCCGCGCAATACGGACCGGGGCCGCGGTCTTTGGCGGCGGCGGGGGTTCTGGACGCCTGCTGAAATTCGTGTATCGCATATCCCCGCCAGCCCATCCAGCAACGATTTCCAGGCGAGTTGCCGGTGGGGAAGCGAAGGCGTTTGTCCATCGTGGTCCGTTGATTTGATCAATATGTAATGGATCTGGACACGCCTGCCCAGGGACATGTCGCAGTTATGCACTGAAAGAGGGCTTGTCTAGGACTTCGAGGATCGGCGTGGCCCACTTTCAGCAGCAGGAGTTGTAGGGTAGGGTGCCACATGTGGCTGCAAGGGAAGGGCCGACGGGTGGGGTATTTTTCAGATGTGGTGAGTACAGCCAGGGACGTTGCTGGAGTAACGGCCGTTGCCTTCAACTAACAAACAAGGCGGCCTTGTCGCTTTCATGGTAGAGCCATGGAGTTGTAAGCGGCATTGGTTCGAGATCTGTCTGCATGTTGGAGCAGTCGTGCGTAGTCCATGCCTGATGCGAACCGCGATCAACTTTGCATGACCTCCCGCGGTGGCAGGTCACTCCCAGGAAGCAGCACTGGGTGCACGTCGGCATCGGGGAGGCCCACCCTTAGCCAGCCCGCCTGGCTTTGTGAGCCTGTGCCAATGTTGGGCCCTGGCAGGGTTCATGTCGATCCGATCGGTCCGGCTCGATCAAATTCGGTTTCGATCTTTGGACGATCCGATTCGGGCCGATGTTTCCACGACGCTGCAGCACACCTTGGCGCAGCCGATCCGATTGGCCCCGACTTCGTACCGATGCCGACTCGAACCTCATTCCGATTTGATCCGAGTTATTCATTCGTTGTTGATTGGTCTTACCTCCTATCCTTCGTCACACTCGGGTGCAGCTTCCTCTCAATTAAATTCAGCATCGGTGCTGCTATGTCCGCGGTCGAAAATCGTTTTGCTCGGGCCAAATCCCGGCTAGTCCTAGCCAGTCCGGCTTAATCTTGGGTTTCATCGGGTTTGGTCATACCTAATGGCTCTGTAAGTGTGTTGTGCTCGTTTGGGAGACCTTTCGGGCCCACCTAATATAATTCGGTTCGTGTTTAGTTCGATGCTTGTTCGATCCCAGCTTGACGAATGGGTGGCTCAAGCTCGACTCATTAAGTCGAGCTTGAATCGACTTGACAAGTCGAACGAGGAGCTGCGTCGAACGTCCTTCGACTTGACAAGACGACGGACGTTCGACGCAGCACCGATGCATTAGTGGAGCGAGCTTCTCCAGGAAAAGCCCCAGAGCAAGCACCTACACCGAGACTTCCCAGGAGTTGCCTCCCGACTCCCCGCCCTCCCCTGCCTTCCTTTCTGGCCCGCTCTTCCCCCAGGCGGCCCGAGCGTGCCCCCCTCCTGCTTCCTTCGGCCATCATTTGTTCTCCTTCCGTGCACCTCGCTGCTCCCTCCTGGTTCCCCTCGCCTCCTCCCTGTTCGTTGAATTTGCATCCTCCCTGCATCTCTCGTTGATGGGCTGTTACGTCTTCATCAGCTTCCGTCTCCCTCTCCCCCCCCCCGTTCCCGACCTCCGTATTCATCGTATAGTCTTCCCGTCTCTCTCGTCCGTCCTTCTTCCGAATGGTTCCCACCCCCCTGCGCAGTCTTCTCTTAATTCCTCCTATTTCATCGACCTTCGCCATCTCTCCACTATTTTTTCCGACATCCTTCTCTCCTATTTTTCGTCATCCTCCCTACCCCCCTCCCTCTCAGTCCTCTTTGCCCCTCGGTCGCATTTCAGGGTCAAAATATTGTTGATGCTAAGGTGAAGCATTGTTTGTCCAGGTAAATTCTTTTTGGGACCCGCCGTGCGGGACATCTGCAACACATCGCATTGAAGGATGGGTTGGTTGGTGGGTTGGTTGGCTGACTGGTTCGCCGATGGTCGGGTCAAAGTAGTGTTTGTCAAGGTCGAAGCTTTCCCAGGGCTAACATTTCTTCCAGGACCCGCCGTGTGGGACGTCCTCCAACATATTGCTAAGGCCTTACGGCCAGTGCCGCCGACCCTGAAGGCCTCGGTCCTCGAGGGTGGCAGGATGTATGATGAGAGAGTGGAGCTAGAGAGTAGGCTGAGGAGGAGGAGGAGCAGCAGGAGGAGGAGAAGGAGGAGGAGGAGGAGGAGGAGCAGCAGCAGCAGGAGCAGCAGAAGGAGGAGGAGGAGGAGGAGCTGGGGGGAGGAGGAGGGGGGAGGCGTCGGAGGAGGAGGAGGAGGACAACGACGAGGAGAAGGAGGAGCAGCAGCAGCAGGAGGGGGGGAGTGGGGGCCCTAGTTCGAACACATCCTGCGGGGGTGACATGTTGAGCTGGCAAGGGGGGGTGATTCGGCTCAGGGACCAAGGTGGGAAGCCTCGGCCACGAGGAGGGTTGGGCGGCCGAAGACCGGCCGCCCATCGGTCGCGAGAGCCCAGGTCGCTTTCTCCTCCATAATCCAGCTATGATGTTACCTGCAGCTGGCTTTCCGAGGGATGCTCGTGCAGCTGAGATGCTCGTGCAGCCGCTGCACCCAGTGCAGTGTCCCAGGGGCTGTGCAGCATTATTGCGTGCAAAGTTTCGCGATCCTACAGCCAGCCCCGACGCTCTTGCTCGGAGGCCGATTCTCGGCCAATTCCTTCTCTGGGAACGCGGGTCTCCCTCCTCCCTCCTCCTTCCTGCCTCCTCCCTCCTCCTTCTCGTCCTCCTACCCCTCCTCCTCCTCCTCCTCCTCCTCCTCCTCCTCCTCCTCCTCCTCCTCCTCCTCCTCCTCCTCCTCCTCCTCCTCCCCCTCCTCTTCATCAGCCGTTCTTCCCAGTGCAGAGTCCGAGGAGCTGTGCAACACCATAGTGTGCAAAGTTTCGTTACCAGCGCCCGCGCGTTGCTACAGCCAGCCACCAGCGCTGCTCGGAGGAAAGCAGCTCGTGGGAGGGCCTGCGGCGGGGAAGCGGCGTCCACCTTTCGAAACCATTCGTCCACCAGCTCCCTGGGAGGCCAAAGCTCTCTCCCTGATTTTCCAATGTGGATGCAGCTCGACGAAGCGGATCGCCTGGGGACTGCTCATCCCATAAAAAGAAGATAGAAAACAATCACAAAACCCTTTGGATGGCATTCTGACCCGGGACCACCCCTAGGGACCACCCCCCCTGCCTGGGGAAGGGACCGGGAGGGGGCTTCCCTGCGATGTGATTGAGTACCACGTTCGGTTTTCTCTCCCACTGCGACGATGACGACGACACTACGTTCGATTTCCGCTCCAACTGCGACGACGACGACGATCGGCACAGCCCCTGCCACACGCCGAACAGGGTCGGAGGATTTGATGACGAGCGCCTGTGCAGTGTCCCGTCTTATTGGTCGAGGCAAGGCATGATTTGTCGACGGATTGTCATGTTACGTTGCGTTACGTTCGTCCTCCCCCCGTAATGGCCACCAGTCTGTAGTTTGTTACAAACCTTCCGTTCTTAATTCGTCGGTTGCCTCTGCTAGGTGCTAGGGCTGGCTCGTGGTCGTCATCGTATGTCTGACCCTGCTGAGGCTCTGCGGGCAAGGGCAACTGTGTGACAATCAGTGTCTTGCTGCCTGCTGAACTAAGTGTTGCCCTCAGCCCCTTGAAGCAAGAAAGAAACGTTTCAAATGGTTCACCAATCGCGTTGTTGAGGCACGGGAGGAGGTGAACAACACCATGATGCGGTGGTGGCCCGCAATCACACCGCATTGAAGCTGCGATAAGAGAGGGCGATGTTTCGAACCGATGCTGGGGCCAAGGGAAGCAAGTGCTAAGACAGATGAAGGGTTGGCAGGGGCTTTCGTGGGAGTATGGCTCGTGCTTCGAAGCTGGAACTCTTCGCGGATGTTTGGGTATTGCTTGTTTTGGTGATCCAGGGCGAAGAGGCGGTCTAACGGGGGATACGGTTGGGGGCTCACGTTCATATGTCCTTTTCTTTTTGTTTTTATGCTGGACCTCCCCCGCTGATGTTGCTTGCGATCGTTGCACGCCCCAATGGGCAAAGACAGATTCAAGGGGCGCCACCAAGCTCCCGTGTGCGTTTTATGGATGAGTGCGCATTGGTTGATGCACAACGATGCCTCACGGCATCGGCGTTCTCGTTTTGTTATCTTTGTCTTTACTTTCTCTCTCGCTTTGTCTCTGTCTCGCTCGCGCCCCCTCTCTTTCTCTCGCTTTATATCTCTCGCTTTTTTCTCGCTCTCTCTCTCTCTCTCTTTCTCGTTATCGCTTTCTTGCTCGCCCTATGCCTGTTCATGTTCTGCGGCGTGGGAGAGCTCGGGGGAGCTCGGACGAGCTCGGAGGAACTCGGAGGAGCTCGGAGGAGCTCTGAGGAGCCCTGAGGAGCTCGGGGGAGCTCGGGGGAGCTCGGGGGAGCTCGAAGGAGGTCGGAGGAGCTCGGAGAAGCTCGGAAAGGCTCCGGCTCCCTGAAGGCAGCGGCAAGGTTTTTTTTGTTTTTTTTTGTTTTTTGTTTTTTCGTACAAGCCTGGGGGAGAGCCTTCCGGCTCCCTGAAGGTAGCGGGAAGCTCCAAGAGGCCTCTTGGGCCGTCAAGGAGGCCTCTTGGAGGCCATCCTGAGGCCACCTTAGGCCGTCGTGGGTACATCCTGGGCCGTCGTGGAGACATCTTGCGGCCATCTTGAGCTGCTCTTTGGGTCCTCCGATCCCCTCTTGGAGGCAGTCCAGGGGCCGTCAGGAGCGGGGAAGGCGTCGACCTGGAACATGTTGGGGGGGCGGTCCGGGTGGTGGGCGCGATCGGCCGAGACCCCGCTGGGGACCTTTCAAAAAGCAAGAAGCCCAGAGGTCCGCCGCCCCGCGTGGGTGCGCGGCGTGCTTAGATCTCTGAGATCTTTGGTTCTTTCAAAGGTGCCCAGTCGGGTCTCGACCCAACCCACCGGCTGCCCAGTAAGGCCCGCCAAATCCACGGGTCATCCATCGGCTGTTCCCGGCCCCAAGATGGCCTCCAAGACGGCTAATATTGTTCCAAGACGACTAAGATGGTCCCCAAGACAGCCCAAGATGGCCGCAAGATGTTTCACAGACGGCCCAAGATGCACCCAAGAAGGCCCAAGATGGCCTCAAGATTGCCCAAGAGGCCTCCAAGAGGCTTCCAAGACGGCCTAAGAGGCCTCCATGAGGTCCGCCAGGAAGGCCCTGAAGAGACCAACACCATCAAATTGCTTTACGTTTGTGACAGGTCTTGGTATTTGTTTCTTTCCGGCTTTCCGACGGCCCAGGAGGTCCTCAAGATTGCCTCAAGATCGCCCAAGAGACCTTCTCCAAGATCCGTAGCCGTTTGGGCTCAAACAATAAGGTACATGTTCGATTCGTGTTTGCCATCTCGTCTTAGCATCACCCACGTTGCCAAGATGGAGTGCGTAGCCGAATATTTCGTTTATGACACAGGCTATGACGAAGGCTTTGCAAGCAGAGTGAAAGTTTCAAGAGCAACCCTCGCGGACTATGAACGTCTTTTGGAGCAGGCTAAAGCAGGCTTGCAAGAATCGCTTGGGCTCAAGTACGCATACCTTCCAATCGTCGGCAGACAGTGTGAGCAACTTCTGAAGCCTGAGGGAGGTGGACAATACAGAGTTGTTGATGAGAGTGCAGAGTACAGGAAGAGCCCCAACTACGATGATCTGCTTCCAGGGGTCGATTCGCACTTCCTGACTTCACCTTGCTACACGTTTAGTGGGGTCGAGGTCACACCTGGTTGGATACAAGTAAGAGTACTCGTGGAAGGGACCAGAGTGAAAATGGCGCATTACCATGAGGCTGGAGTGAGGGAGGGCGAAAGGTCTTCTGTGGTTGAACTCCTGCAGGAATGGGGATGCTGTTCTGCTATTGACCAGGGCCCGTTGCCTCCGTCTACACTTTCTCAGGACGAGCTGTTCGCACTGCTCGCTGGCGAAGAAGCTGTGCACACGTTTTCATTCTCAACAGTACATGCGGGGAAGTTCGAAACTGCTTTCGTCGGGACACACGTAGTAGAAACCTACCGTCGGACATTCTCTTTGCCATAGGTTGTCGCTGCGCGTGCGAACGCTCACTTTGGATTGAGCCGTGTTTGAGATCAAGTAGTTTGAGTTCGGTAGAAGTTGCATCTCAAGTTCCATCAGTTTTCATTAGCGTCGGCGAAACGGGCCACATGTTTTATCGAGTCGATCGCTCCTTGTTCGCGCAGTCCTCGATCGTGTTCGCAGATGATTTGCTGTGTCCATCTTCGAAACAGGATTTGATTTACATTCTCAATGACTTGACCTGCCTGATGCTTTTGTAACAGCCATTTGATGTGTCATGTAATCATTTCGCTGCAGGTGTAGACGGCTCTTCACTTACGGACGAAGCCCGTAAATTGATTCCCGTGGAAAAAGAAACCTCCTCCAAGATGGCCCCATGACGGCCCAACAGGCCCCTGAGACGGCCCCAGTCGGTTCAGAGAGGCCCCCAAGACGGCTTCGACGGCGTCAGACGGGCTAGGAACACCCTAACACAGCCCAAGAGGCCCCCAAGAAACCCCCGAGGGCCCCCAGTAGGCCCAAGGAGGCTTCAAGAGGCATCCAAGAGGCCCCCGGGAAATTCCCAGGATGCCCCAAGAGTGCCTCAAGAGGCTCCTACCTCCTCCTCCTTCTCCACCTCCTCCTCCTCCTCCTCCTCCTCCTCCTCCTCCATCCCTTTTCCGTACGCACCACCAGGCGTGGCTTTAGGGCGGGCCAAGCGCTTCGCTGGATAATTTCTCGCAAGGTATGATCCTGACGCTTGAAATGTCCAACATTTACAAGGCTGGAGTGCAGGTGGTTTTCAACATTGGGCTCTCCCCGTAGCGCCGCGCTCGTTCGGTTTAAACATCTGCAACAGTTTCAAGGATAGTGGGCGGGTCGCTTTCAAACATGGGTTCTCGCCTTAGCAACGTGCCCATTCGTCTTAATGATTTGCAACAGCTTCAAGGATGGAGGGCGGGTCGTTTTCAAATTTGGGCTCTCACTTCAGCGCCGCGCACACTCGGTTTAACATCTTGCAACAATTACAAGGATGGAGGTCGGTTTCTTTTCAAAATAGGGCTCTCGCCTTAGCGTCGCGCGCATTCGTCCTAAACATGTACGACAGCTACAAGGATGGAGGGCGGTTCCTTTTCGAAATACGGCTCTCGCCCTGGCGCCGCGCACATTCGCGCACATGTCCAACGCGTTTTTCCAGAATCAGATGACCAAATTTACCAGCCACATGAGTTGTGCAAACATTTCAACAGAGTAGTTTTCACCTCTTCGGTTTTCACTCAGATATTACAGATGTTCTGCCTGCGCGCATGTTTTGAAATCGTCCGACAGCCATGTGATGTTTACGATTTCGTCCACGTAGCACGTTCTCATGCCACCTTGCAGTACACTCGCGTTGGTCTAGCATTCACCCGGGGCGTGAGTCCGCATCAAATACTGACATGCGCAGACCTCCCGCGCGCGCATGTCGTATTCCTTCCTTAGCCAGTGGTATTCTGAGCAGGTTACGATATAGGTATCCTAAAACAGACTTCAGCATTATAGCCAGAGTGCAGCACCCCCAAACAGAATGCAGCATCATCGTCGTCTTCGTTGCCGTCGTCGTCGAATGTGTTGTCGTCCTTTTTTCTTCGCCGCCTCTCACCCTTCAAGCTGCCACTCCTCCCACGTGCTCAGTCTTGTGGTCCGCAGCAAGGAAACATCTCTCTCCCCTCCCCCCCTCCTCATCCTCCTCCTCCCCCTCCTCCTCCTCCTTCTTGTCTTCTTTTCTCAGTATCGTCGTCCTTCTCCTGACACTCTCTCTTTTTCGATATCTTCCTGCTCCTCCTCTTCGGTGCCATCCTGCTCCTCCTCCTCCTTTCTGCTCCCCTCCCGACCACGACGACGACGAGCGAGCGACGACGAGCGACGGCCACCGACGAGCTCGGACGTGGGCGGCGTCGACGGCCACCGACGAGCGGCGACGAGCAGCTCGGAGCTCAGATTTGCGAGGGTGTGGGAGGCGAACCTGGGGGCCTGGAACAGCTCGGGCGCGGCGTCTGGGAGCTCAGAATTGCGAGGACGTCTCAGGAGAAACGGCCCGGACCACCTCGCGCGCATTAGCTCGGAGCAGAGAATTTCGTGGATGTCTCAGGCGGAAGGGGCCAGACCACCTCTCGCGCGGCCTCCCAGAGCTCAGATTTGCGAGGATGTCTCAGGCGAAACGGCCAATCCCGGATAACTCAGAAACGCGAGTTGCGAGGATGTTTCAGGCGAATCTGCCAAAATCATAAGGAGGGGTGAGTTGAAGCGTTGTGTGCGGCAAAACCCTTTGCTTCTCGCCTTGGGGTCGGCGCGGGTGTCGCGAAGATGTTTCGTTTGGGGCGGCAGCAACAGTTTTTGTTGTTCTGGGCGAGAAAATGTGCGGTGGGGGGTCCCAAGAACAGAGAAGTTCTGTGGGTGGTGGTGCTGGGGCCAGGAGGGGGGCGTTGGTTGGATTTGGGTGAGAAAATGTGCGGTGGGAGGTCCCAATGATGGAGGTTCTGTGGGCGGGGGTGCCGGGGTCAGGAGGGGGGCGGGGCGACGCCAGAGCGAGCGGCCGCGAGGACCATCGCGGGTCCTGCATCGCAGGGCGCCGTGCGCGAATTTGGGTGTCCCGGGAATCCAGCCTTTTCCTCCTCCTCCTCCTCATCTTCCTCCTCCTCCTCCGCCTTCTCTTCCTCTTCCTCCTCCTCCTCCTCCTCATCCTGGTTCCGTCTCACGCCAAGCCCTCAGCGACCCTCGCGGGGCAGGTCAAGTACATGCGCTTCGAGTGTTTGGGCGGCCGCCCCCCTCGGCTCGAGCGCCCGACGTCGCGTTCGCGCAGCTTGGGCGGTTCGACACTCGTCCACTGGCTTGGTTGCAGCTGCTGGGAGGGCGAGTTCAGCATCGGCACTGGCGGTCGGAAGCCGCGTTCATCTCGCGAGTTCCGCTTCATCCGGCTCAATCCCGCCGAATCCGTTTGAGTCCCGGGGCCAATCAGGCTAACGGCCCCTCAATCGGACTTCCTGATTAGAATCGTTCTTACGCAGATCTCTCAGGAGCTGCCCCCTGACATCGCGTAACTCGTATCGATGAGCGCCGAGATCTCACATTGTTCATGTATGGTGTATGGGGCGTTCTGGAAACGGTCTCGCCCACATCGGACCGAGAGGTTGGCATCGCTTCCTCGGCGAAGGCGGCAGAAAAGTGAAACGATGGCGTGTCCGCCGGCAGAAGTCCGCGGTTGTAAGTAACATTCAGCCATGCACCATTTCGGGATCAGGGTTTCTGGAACGAGCCATACCACATTGCAGCTGATAGCAGAGGCACGAGCACGGCTACTTCGTACATGTTTCTGGAGCCAGTGTGTATTTCCACCGTCGTTTTGTAGCAGTATCAGGGGCAACGACAGGGGGGGCGATGAACTGGGGGGGTATCATCGACCCCCAATCTCCCAGTCATCGCCAATACGGGCTTGCGTACCCCACCCCGCCCAGCAACGTTCGGTTTCTCTCATGATCGGGGGCCTCTCGGCGACCTATCGGCGACGTATCGTCGATTCCAGGTCGATATTTTCCTCCTGAGTTGGCTCCCCACTCTTTTCTCCCTGGACAGGCGTCGTCCCGTGTGAGCACGTGAGCATGCCGCTGCCGTGCTGCAGCGCTCCGTCACCTGCGGTGGGTGCACAGCCATTTTGCTGCCGCAGATCTTACAGCTGTCGAGGTTCGAAGTTCAAGGCTCTCTGGCGTTTTCGTCGGCTATCGGGGACTCTCCAGCCCCGGGATGCTTTTCATCAGTTGCGCCTCGTCAGAAACGTCGAGGGTGTGCCGGAAACGCCCCGAAGTGCCGCCGTAGACCCGAGTTATGGCCCGAAGAGGATGTGTTGACGGGCCTGTTGCGAAGAAAAACGAACGTCAAAGGGCGGATCCGCAGACGCCTCCAGGGGAGCAGAGCGCCGATCCAGGAAGTCCGCGCGGACCTCCCAGTGTTTGTTCATGTTGTCTGTCACTGTTCTATTCCTGGCAGGGGCACGTAAGGATCAAATCTGCATGGACTCGGATTGCCGACGCGTTCGGGCAGTACCAGCAATAAGATTGAAGGCTAAGTTGTCGCGAAATGTTTGTAGAGGGAGACTACGCCAACTTTCAGACCTTCAGGCTCGGCCACTCATTTTTCTGACGGCTCCCCGATGCCAACTCGATTCCGGAAATTCAAGTCGTATGTCTATTCGATTATGGTCTCCGTCGAAGCCCTCCTCTCCTCTGCTCCTCTCCTGTGGCGCTGCTGGCAGGATGAGAGATCAGAGTAGTATTTCTGTCGGGCGCCACGCCCTGCAAGGCATCACTCCGCCGCGCAACAGCGCACCGCAGTGTCTGGTTGTTCACCCTATAGCTATGTTTCCGTTTGCATGTTGGTTCTAGTATCAGGTTGCTTGCGGCAAGTTCCGCCACCGTGCCAGCCCGGCATTTTGGGCAGCGACTGTTCGAGGTGGCACGGGAAGCCGTCACGTGCGACACTTCGTGTCCCCAAGCTTGGGAGATCCATGATGAGGATGATGAGGATGAGGATGAGGCTGAGGATGACGAAGAGCAGGACGATCAGGAGGAGGATGAGATGGAGTAGGAAGGGCGTTCCACCTTGCAATTTTCGCCTTTACTTATTGAGGAGCTCTCATAGAGAACACTTGGGCAGTTTTGGGGCTGTCTCAGGGCACCTGTAGGCTAGTCTTCTGGGTCTCTTGGAGCAGTCTTAGGGCTCTCTGAGTTCGTCTCGGGGCCTCTTGGCTGTGTAGGGGGTGTCTTGGGGCCGTATTGGGTTGTCAGAGGGTCTTCTAAGGCCGTCGTGGGTCCCTTCAGGCGCCCTCTTGGGCAGCCTTGGGGCAGTCTTGGAGGCCTAGTGGTTCATCATTGGTACTTCAGGAACCCTCTTGGGGGTCTCTTGGGCCGTCTTGGGGCAATGTTGGAGGCGTCGGTCCCCTCTCATTATTCCTTCCTTTTTATCCTGATGATTGTCTTCACGCGAGCTGGTTTTAACACATGGCTTCACTGGCGCTTGGGGGCCAAGTGGTGCACAGGTTCGGTGCGCTGGTTTAGAAGCTCGGAGGCTTCTTGGGCCGTCTTGAAATGGCGGACCCCGAAAAGGCGAGATAATGTGTGTTTCTTTGGACCTTGTTGGGGGTCGTCCTGTGGCCCTCTTCGGTTCTCTTGTCTGTAGTTTAGGCCATCTTGCGGTCGTCGCTGGCCGCATTGGGGCCATTCTGGCGGCCTTGGTTGCCTGCCTGAGCCGTCTTTGGAGCTGGTGACGCGGGCATATTGGTGTTTTTTTTTACCAGGGACCGTGGCCTCGGGAGCGGGGACCCATCGTTTTGAGTAGGGACAGTGGTCTCGGGAGGAAAGGCGATGCAAGCCTGTCCGCGGCCAGGGGTTTGAGGCCCTTCTAGTCGTACAGAAGCCCTATCCCACAGCTCTTGGCGTTCTACCGCGCCTCAACGTGCCATGGGGGCACAGTTGCGGATCTATTGAGAGGTGGGCACGCCAATCGTCGTCAGTCGCAGGTAATTTTCCACCCCTTTCCCAGAGTTTCCCTTACCATGCATGTTGCCTTTTAGAAAAGAAGGGGGAACCTGGGGAACCACTCCAGGTTGGCCATTTGGATGCACTCCTTTCCAAGATGGACGCCCCACCACGTAATATCCCTGGGGCGGGCCTCAGATTTTCTGGCGCATCGAGAATTGAGTTGTGCAGTGGGGTCGCCCGACCTTTTGCAAGTCGGCATCGGAAGACTGGCACCCAACGTGCCCGCCCATCTGCCCGCGCGCGGCGGCGAGGTGGACCAGCCGACGTGGGCATCTCGCTGTCGACCTTCGCGGAGGAGCGCTGCCGCGTTTGGTGCGGGCTCGAGTGGATCCTCAGCGTCTTATGATGAGCACACGGCCCGTTTCCATCCGATTGATCCCATTCGGAGTCGATTCTGGGTTGCCCGACCCGATCTTCGACATTCTTTGTGATTTTGGTGCTGCGTGAGGCTTGCACGGCGTTGCTGTGCATGTTGGCGCAGCCAGTCCGGTTCGAACAGCCTCCGTACCAATGCAGTTATCCGACGCACATGTCGATTCGATGTATTTTTTCCCGATTCGATGCTGGATGATCTTGCTTAAGTTGAGACCCTGCCTCCGGTGATAAGCATGGGGGGCCCTCCACGACGGAGATCTGCGTCGCCTCGTCGGCGTCGGCGCAACTGTCAAGTGCCATGTTTACGGAGCGTGCCCATCTCTCTGGCTTGCCGGGTCAATGAACAGCTCATGAATTTTTCGGGCGGGTGACCCAGAGCGCGGTGTTTTGGGGGAGGGCGGGAACGAAAACATATGTTGATTTCGCACGTTTTTTTTTGTTTAGTTGATCATGCTTGCTGGCGATGTTGATCGTCGTTCTCGTCGTCTTCGCCGGCGCGGCGGAGGAGCAGAATCCCGGGAGGATCGAACTCCGAGAATCGAGCTTCGAGGATCGAATTCCGAGGGTCGAGGTTTCAACCCCCTCGAAAACGAATCAACCACTTGACAAATACTTAATCAAGCTCTTGACAAATATTTGCCTCCGCAGTTGTCCCGGCACAAGGAAAGCGAGCAGGAGGAGGAGGGGGAGGCAGAGGAGCGGCAGCAGCAGCAGGAGGATGAGTCATTCTCCCACGCGGCGCGCGCCTCGGTGTGGCCCCTGCCCACCCTTCTCTAAAAAGCCACCAGGCCCGCACAACCATTCATAAGGAGGTCGAGGAGAAGCAGGAGGAGGAGACAAAGGAGGGGGTGGAGGGGGGCGCGGAGGACGACAAGGATGACGATGCGGAGCAGGAAGAGGAGAAGGGGGGGCGAAGGGGGAACGAAGATGAACGGGAGGAGGGGGAGGAGGAGGAGGAGGAAGAGGAGGAGGAGGGGGCGAGGAGGAGGAGGAGGAGGAGTGAGGAGGATTATGAGGGGGGATGGTGAGGACAAGGCGGAGGAGGATCGATCATCGAGGTTAGATCGAAGATCGAGGATGGCGGGGGATCGAGAATCGAGGCTCGAGGATCCGTGAAGGATCCAGGGTCTATCGAGGCTCGACGAAGGTCGAGTTTCGATCGAGGATCAAGGTTCGATCGAAGACCGAGGATCGAGGGTGGATCAAGGATGGGAGTTCGGTCGAGGGTCGAGGACCGAGGTCCGACCGAGGATCGAGGATCGATCGAGAATTGGGAATTGATCGACGTTGGAGGTTCGGAGGGAGGCGGACGAAGGGGGGGAATGACGAGGAGGCAGGACGAGGAGGACGGACGAGGACCAGGAAGATGAAGACGACGAGGGAGGAGGGAGGTATAAGGAGGATTATGACGATGATCGCGAGGAGGGAGGATAAGGAGGGGGAAGGACGGAAGATGGCGGGCGTCTTGAAGGTTCCAGGGCCCACCGCCCACCGGAGGCAGGCTGTGCTCGCTCTGATCGGGGCTCCTGACAGGCCGTCGTCGCCACGGCTGGATTCGCCGAGGGCCGGGCCAGGGCGCGATGCAATCTTGGGGGCTGCTCGCCCCAATCGCCGGGCTCGCGCGAGGGGGCGTCCTCCTCCTGAACCTGAACAACTGGCGAATAGTCCAACGGTTGAGGGCCCGCGCGGGCCCCGCGCGAGGGGGACAGGACCTTCAGCCACATGAAGCCCCGAAAAATCCACGGTGATGATGATGATGATGATGATGATGATGATGATGATGATGATGATGATGATGATGTTAATTATTATGATGATGGTGAGGATGTCGATGATGACGACAACGATGATGACGACGCTGATAGTGATGATAATTGTTGATGATAACTGTTGAGATGATACGATTGTTGTGATGATAACTGTTGAGATGATACTTAGATGATACTTCTAGCACATATCAAATATTCGATATTATCAGCATAGAGTTAGAATTTTTGATATTCATTGTATATCATCAGCACATACTTAATCTATATATCAGAAATGCTGCGTGATCAATAATAATATTGATCTAACTGGGCTACTGGGTGTGGGAGTGGCGGGGTCGGGCCGGGGCTCGGGCGGGAGGCGCCCGCTCTGGGCCGCCGCAGATGCGGCTGGCGCCAGGGGTGGTTTGCGGCTGGGCCCGAGCGAAGTAGCACTTTGCCGTTCTGTGGGACGTCAGGTGGCACCGGAACGGCGCACCAGATTAGAGTTCACCATTCTGAGAGCGCGCTGAGGGCACCAGACTTGCGAACTCGATTCTGGTTCGCCACTCTGGCAGCTTTTCAGGGGCCCCTAAAAATGATGAGAGGGCCTTTTTGGGGAACCCAAACAACCAAGTGGATTGCAGTCCGCCGTTGTGTGGGCGCGCGGGGTGCCCAGAATGACGAACTAGATTCTAGCTCGCCGTTCTGGCCGTTCTGGTAGTGCTCCAAGACGGCTCCACGCCGGGGCGTGGAGCCGTCTTGGGGCGGCCCTGGGGCCTGTTGGGGCATCTTCGTGGCCATCTTGAGGCATCTTAGGCTATCTTGAAGCATCTTGGACCTCGTCTTGGGCGTGAACTGCTGAACTTGGCGGTTCGGAACCCCAGGTCGGGGCCGCGGGGCGCTGGTTCCGAACCGCCAAGTTCAGCAGTTCACGCTGAACTGCTGATCTTGGCGGTTCGGAACCCCAGGTCGGGGCCGCGGGGGGCCGGTTCCGAACCGCCAAGATCAGCAGTTCACGCTGAACTGCTGATCTTGGCGGTTCGGAACGCCAGGTCGGGGCCGCGGCCGGGCAACACCACCAGCAACAGTACCAGCACCAGCAGAACCAGCAGCCACCAGCATCAGAACCAGCTGCAGAAGCACCAGCAGCAGCACCAGCAGCACCATCACCAGCAGCAGCACAAGCAGCAACAGAACCACCAAGAGCAGCAGCACCATCAACACCTCCTGGGGGGTCTTGGAGCTCTCGGGGGGATCCTGAAAGCGTCCAGAAAAGGCCGAAGAAAACATCAAGAAGGGCGCAAGATAATTCCAAAAGGGCTCGAACATGACTTCGAAGATCTTCGACACACAAGACCTCAGCTTGCCTGTCGCACTGCCCGGGATGTGCTGGGATTTCCTGGGCCCTTCTAGGGCGTCTTCAAGCCCCTAGGAAGCTCCATAGAGCGTCCCTAAAGGGCCGAGGAATGCACCAAGTACGGTTCAAGAGAACTCCAAGAGTGAGGGCTCCGACAGGGCCCAGGGCCCTGAAAATCAAAGGAGGCGCAAGAGGACCCCGAGACCGTACCAAAGAGTCCCCAGAGGGGGCACCGGCACCACCAGCACCAGCAGCAGCACCAGCAGCGCCAGCAGCAGCAACAGCAGCGCCAGCAGCAACACTAGCAGCACCAGCAACAGCAGCAGCACCAGCAGCACCGTCAGCAGCACCACCACCAGCAACAGCAGCAGCACCAGCAGCAACACCACGAAGAAAAACACTTAAAACATAGGAGGAAGATGAGGAGGACGCGGAGGAGGAGCAGGACAAGAGCGACCCAGTGTCGGCACCATGAGAGCAGCACCATCGGCAGCAACACCGGCAACAACACCAGCAGCAGCACTAGAACACCAGCAGAACCAGCAGCAGTACCAGCAGCAGGAGCACCAGCAGCACCAACAGCAACAGCAACACCACCAGCAGCACCAACTCCAGCAGCACCTCCAACAGCAGCAACACGATCGCCAGCAGCAGCACATGAGCACCTCCTGGGGGGTCTCGGAGCCCTCGGGGGACTTCTGAAAACGCCCCAAAACGGACGAAGAAAGCACAAACAACGGCCAAAGAGAATCAGAAGAAGGCTCCAAAAGGGCCCCGAACATCTCCGAAAAATGCCAGGTTTGCTCGTTGCACTCTTTGGGATTTGTTTTGAAATGCCGGGGATTCCGTGTAAAGGTGTGCGATCCGCACGCCACCATGAGAGCCACCGGCAACGCCCGACGATCTTGGAGCGATCTTCGGGCGCTCTTGGGGCTTTAGGGGCCCTCTTGGTGGCCTCTGGGGGCTTCCAACGGGGTCTTGGAGCAATATTTAGGGTCTCTTGGGCCCTCTGGGAGCGTCGGGGAACCGGAAAAGAGAAGACGCACAAAGGCACCCACCCCCCTTGGAAAAGCACAAAAAACATAGGAAAATTATGATTTGGGATTTTCGGGGTTCTTTATTACATGGGTTCCCGCGTTGTCCGTTTGACGCTGAAACGCTTTGTCGAGGCGTCTCCAACCATCCTAGGACCCTCTTGGGCAATCTTTCGACACTCTTGGGACTCCCTGGAGGCTTCCTGGGAGCATCTTCGAGGCCGGAAAACAAGCGTTACCCGCCAGAGGATATAAAATAAACAATCTCCAAGAGGATCAAAACGTTGAGGACAAGCGGCGGCAGCAAAAATTGCGAGGGGGACAGTGGGCAGCAACGCAACGCAACAAGACGATGATCAGCATGAGGTGCACGCGCAGTGCAATGAAGAGAAACCGCAATAGGATGAACCGGGGACAAAGCAGGAAAGGGGCGGGGGGGGGTGAAGAGGACGCGATGTGCTGACGACGTGACGACGAGGAACCGGAGGATGGAAAAGAGCGGCAAACATGATCAACATCGCCAAACACTTACGAAATTGACATTCGTTTTTCTTCCTGCCACCCCTCGAAACACCACAGTCTGCCCAGGGCGCCCACAAAAGGGCGAACTAGAATCTGGTGCCCCCGCTCTGGTGCCCCAAGAGTACCGCCAGAACGGCGAACTAGAATCTAGTGCGTCACTCTGGTGCCCCCAGGGCGCCCACAAAAAGAGGCGAACTAGAATCTGGTGCCCCCGCTCTGGTGCCCCAAGAGTACCGCCAGAACGGCGAACTAGAATCTA